TTTCTAACCACAGCCAGAACATGAGGAAAAAGAAACTAAAAATGTTTTGGGATTCCAATGCCCAAAATGTAAGTTATCCTGATGAATACAGATAATTAAAAAAATATAGCAATATTTTTCTTTAAAAAAGGTTAATTATTACATATTTCAAGTATATAAAAATATAAAAATTAGCAAACACCCATGTATCTACCAACTAGATTTAGAAATATAACATTACAGATATAGATGAAGACTGTCTTCCTCTTCCAATTTTATTCCACTCCGATCCCTTAAAGAGGTAACTGTTCTGAATGTTGTTTATATTACAATTCTCATGCACACGTCTATCCTTCTATAACACAAATGTGTATAAAAGCATTGTCTTGTATGTAATTACAACTTGTATAGATGGTACAATGTACACATGTAAGTCATTTTCCCCTCAACACTGTTTTTTTTAGATATATTGATATTGATATGCAAAGCTCTATTTGATTTAAGTGCCCTATGATATTCCATTAAATGACTATAGCAGAAGGTATTTATTCATTCTCCTGTTAATAGATATTTTCCATTTCCTTTGGGGGGAGGAGCTATAACAAACAATGTTAACATAAACATTTCTTATTACATCTTCTTATGCATGTGAGAGATTGTTTTACCACACATATCTCAGGTAGGAATTGCTGAGTCATGGTGACATGCATGCTCATTTGACATTATTAGATACTGCCAAATTGCTCTTCAAAAAGTATTACCAATACGCTTCCCACCAGGAGCCTTTAAGTTTCCTACTGTTCATAGCCTTGTCATCTGCGATCTCATAAGAGCTTTTAATTGTTGACTATGTGATGGTGTGCGGTGGTACTTTATTGTTTTGTTTGCTTTGTTTTATAAGCAGCGTTGTTTAAAGAGAGTAGGGAACGGCCCAGAACGAAGAGAAGAAGCTGAGGAAGGGAGTGCGAGATAAGATCACAAGAAATGTTGCTGAAAGCCGTTCTTGTAAAGGAATTTCTGGTAATAGAAGAAATAGTTCATTAAAACAACTTCCTCACTCTATACAACAGCCATTCATTTCTCCTAAGCCCTTTCTGACATCGATGCCTTTCGTGCATCTGCACCCCAGCTCCTCGGCCAGACTTACTCTCCCATGCACGGAGAGACCGCAAGAAGTCTGATCATTTTATAATGCATGAAATCAATCAGAAAAGAATTGTTACTAGCATTTCTTATTGTCAAGCAAATCTCAGCATAGAGTCTCCCTCAATAAACATAGAAGACACATGAGAAATTCTCATGATGTTTATTTTTTTTTAAATTGTGAAAAATGTATTGTTACAACAGTAAGGGGAAAAAAAGAATCAACTTCCCTTTCTCAAAGTGCAATGATAATCTTTTTTTTGATAAAAAATTAAAATATTTCATTCCAACTACAATAAAATAGTACTTGTGATTTAAAACAATGGCTATAAATCTAATTGCAAGTATATGTTCTGATTAGATTCTAAATATTCTTTCAAATGACATCTCAGAAGCAGATTTTCAAATACTTTTATAGTTCCCATTTATTATTTTTCAAAGAGCTTAAACTTAAAAAAATTTTGTTTCTATGATTTCTGAGAATTTGCTGACAAAGAAAAACTGCTACCTTCAGCAAAGAGCAGTAAATGAAAATCAAATTGGTGCAGTTGTAGTTTCTATATGTCCAAAGAATCATTCTAAGTGAAGCTAAATATATGACAAGAATAGCATTCTAATTCTGTCTTTGCCTGTGCGAAAACAGGGAGATGCTTCATTTGTATTTTATTTAGCTAACCCTCACATGACATATTATTTTAAATATCTCCTGTTCTGCCTTATTTCACTGCAGTTTTCCTTTCTGTTGGTAGATCGCAGGGATAACAGAGTGACACCTTTAACTAACTGCACTAGAAATAAATAAAATTAAAAATACACACACCCCAACTTTTCTCAGTAACAGAGGACCTGAGGAACCTTTAGGACTCAGAGGAAACTGTTAGACTGCCAAAAATACTTCCTATCCCAGATATTTGTGTCTTCTGCGATCACACACATGGCCTACCAGGCTGGGAACAGTCTAGACAAGAAAATGGCAACAGTTTAAGTTATTGGAAGGGAGGAAGGAAAAAGAAAGAAGAGATGGATGTTGCTTGGAACAATTCTAAAAGCACAGTTGATGGGTACGTCTAAATGAACACACTCAGCAGGAATGTGTGATATGCATCTTATCAGCAATAAAGCTTAGTGGTTAAGGGGAGCAGGCTTTCCAGTCGGGCAGATCTGACCCCAAATCTCCCTAGCTTTATCACCTTAGGCAAATGATTGAATTTGTTTGAGCCTTAGTTCGTGATTCTATAAAATGGTGATAGAATGAATAGGGCTGTTTCAAGAATTAAATGTGAAAATGTATGTGGGTAAATTACTTGGTATCTAGCAGGTAATATTACAAGATCAATGAGTATAGTTTAGATAGCACTAGCCTTTTTAAAGAACTACTTTAGTCAAATACCAGCAACACTCCTATACAAAGGCTGGCTGAAAACAATTAAGCCAGTTTATTTGTCCATACACATTTCTGATAAGGTTATTAGCTTTATCTTTTTCTCCCAGATGTAATTTTAATTCATTAAAAAAAATATTTCCTTAGGAGAATGCCCATAAAACTAAATCGCCAGATACCAGTATGGGCAAAAACAAAAATTGTACAGAGTAAAAAATCTCCAGCACAACACTGCCTGTTTAAAATAAACTTAATCCAGAGAAAAATGAAAAAGGCCAAATA